GTCCTGCCTCCTGTCTCTGGCTCGTCTCCCTCCGTCCTGTCTTCCGGCAGAGGTGAGATGCTGTACTTTTCTTCCTGAAGTCATTTCTATGTTAATGAGTTTTCTTGTGAGATAACGCAGGCGGTAAGGCCTCGGACACACACACACACACACACACACACACAAGCAGAGGAAGTGAGAGGGACGATAGGACCTGTCACTGCACTCTGTTGATCTGTTATTGCATTAGTTTTTCCCATAATCCTCCTCTCTGCCCTTGCAGTCTTGTTCTTTGGTCGTTCTTTGGTGCTTGTTGTGTTTTTTCTGTGTCGTTTGGAAACACAAATCCATGAACTATCAACCACACACTTATTCTGAAGGATCATCCCAAAAACAGTTCCTGCTTCATAAACCTGCACAGACGGGAGGAAACACACCTTTATTTTTATTATTTACATTTCTAATCAGTATTGGCTGATTAATATTAAACATACACTTCCAGAGCTTTAAGTAGATCAAAATGAAAACAGCTTCATCCATTTATTCATACAGTCATACACTACTGTCATCTTATCAATTATACTGCTCTCCAGAGAGGTCATCAGGATTCAATTTATAGCTGTTTAAACAGGCAAGACAATGAACCCTGATCTCTTCAGTGGCCTGTGGCAAACACACACACACACACACACACACACAGATATATATGTACACATTAGCGCATAAAGGACACACGTGAACACAGAACTAAACGCATACAAAGGCTAAGACACACACACACACACAGTGTGTGTGTTAAGTGTAATGTGAGGCTCTGGTCGTGTGTGTGTTTGTGTGTGTGTGTGTGTGTGTGTGTGTGTAAGCCTCGCTGAAGTGGAATCATTAAAAACGGTCCGTGGTTCTTTAAGTGGCGTCTCTGCTTCTCTCCCGGGCGCGATTCTTCATGCATCGCTTGTCAATCTCTCTCTCTCTCTCTCTCTCTCTCTCTCTCCCTCTCTCCCTCCCACTTTATACTTTTTTCTTTCTGTCCCTTACTTCTAACCCCATAACTCTGCCCTCCCCACTCCATAATTCTCTTTCTCTGTGTCCCTCTCCCCCCCCTGCATCTGCTCTGCTGAAGCCAAGAAAACCACGCAGAGGGATGAGAATAATACAATATTGTTTATAACACTGTATTCTACTAATATATATGTGTCATATAACATATAACATGTGTTTATTAACTCCTGCGTATCGTTAAACCAAGCGCTGTCCCTGGACCTCCGATCAGCACCATGGACAGCAGTTGTCCGGTGCTTACTTTCAGCACCATGGACAGCAGTTGTCAGGCGCCGACTTTCAGCACCATGGGCAGCAGTTGTCCGGCGCCGACTTTCAGCACCATGGACAGCAGTTGTCCAGTGCTGACTTTCAGCACCATGGACAGCTCTACACCGCTCCAGGTTAAATCAGCAGTAAAAGAAAAACTGTTTGCAACAATTCTGAGAAACTGTTTGCACATGTATGATTAAAACTAAGTGTCTGGTGCGGTGCTGAGCTGAAGTACTGTAGTGTAGAGGGACTGCACTGCTGTGGGGCTGCACACCTCCAATCAATTGTGACGTGAAGTGGAATTATGCCCACTTTTATTTCAGTTTTAAGACTCGTTCATTTCGGCCTTTCTTCACTTCACCACCCGGTGTTTTTCTAGCAGCAGGATGATCAGTTCTTGAGTCAAACACTTGAAGACCTAAACAGCTGCTCTGCTGCAGAGAACACACATACCCAGCGCAGAACTCATGTACATCCCACCTCAGCTCAGACCAAAGGGGAGAAATAAGATGCCTGAAGCCCCTCCATCTTTTATATTGACTGTGATGAGCCAGGGGGCGGGGCTTGAAGCCGCGATTAGCTCCCGAAGGGCGCTGTCACCCACGGGTCCAATCCGTGCTGAGCCGCACGGCCTTAGGCGGAGTTTAAGGAGACCCGCGGTTAGTTTGGGTTTATGTTGGTTGGACCTGTTTAAAGAGGAGGAGGGGGCGGGGAAGAAGAAGAGGGAGGTGGCGGAGGACGACGGAGAAGAAGAGAAGGTGTAGGAGTGTAGGAGGAGGCGACGGTTGTCTTTTTTTTTTCTTTCGATTTTCTTGGGAGCCTTGCGGTCCATGCGGGTGTAACCGTCCTGCTGGCTCCATCACAAGACATCTAATCCAACCGGGACGATCCGGTTATCGTTGAACTTTGATCAGGGAAGGAGGGAGAGAGAGAGAGAGAGAGAGGGGGAGAGAGAGGGAGGGAGAGAGAGAGAGAGAAGCAGAGGGCTGGATGCTTTGGAGGAGAAAATTGATTAATTCTGTCTTCATTCTCTGTGCATCACTGATGCCTAACTTAACATCCCCGCGCTGCTGCTGCTGCTGCTGCTGCTGCTGGAGTGTTTCTACTACTGCAGGTAATCGGCCATAAAAACCGGATTATTATTGTATAAAAGAACAGTATTATTATCAGCAGCTGCTCGGAGCAGTTTCAAAGGGAGAGCCAACATGTCACTGAGTCAACAGCTGGACTGCGAAACAACACACGACGGATTTCTAGCAGCGGCCGCTCTCTGGTCATAGTCGACGCATGGGTTCTGCTTCTTCGTCCCTCCATCCGTCCATCCGTCCATACAGTGGAATTCAAAAGGAACCAATCGGGAAAAGCCGGGCATAAATCCAGTGAGAGGCTGAAGGAGGGTGAGAGCCGAACACAGCTGTGGTGAGTTCTCTCCCTGAGAGACGGCTTTGAATGCGCACATGTTTTAATCCGGTTTCTGTTGGAGTCGGCACAGAACGCCGTGCGGATAAAACGAATTAACCCCAGTTTGTTATTGTTGTTGTTGTTGTTTTAAAGATGGAGTCCCACGGCGCAGACCTGTGCTGTTAATGGTTAACTGACTAATGAGGAGGCTGCTTTGGAGGAGCAGAAGTTGAAGGAGGGGAGGAAGAAGGGGATTGAGGGAGGAAGGAGCTGCTGGAATTGTGGATAAATAAATAACAGCTGGCCCTGCGTAACCCTGGCACCGGCTGACGGCGGCAGAGACAGAATGTGGTGCGGTCGTTCCCCTCGGTTCTGACTCACCGAGGGCAGCGGGGAAGTCAACCCACAGTCGCCGAGGCTGCACCGTGTGCGTGAGTCTGCTGCTGGGTTTTGGCGGAGGAAAAGCGGTTTTTGATGCGTAAGAAAGTGACGTGCCGCCCCCCCACCCTCACGCCCTTTGCCACCAGCCTCTCGTCAAGTCAACGGACAAGGCAGAATCCAATTATTTCATCTTAGGCTGCTCCCCAAACCCTCCATCTTTGACGCCCCCCCCCCCACCCCCCTAAAATAAACCCTTATTTTTATTTCTTGCCTGCCAGTCTGTCTGACCAGTCAGTCCGACTCTTCACATCTCTCTGGATATTCAAGGAAGAAATCCTACATAGAAATATATATATATATTTACAGAGAGAGAGAGAGAGTGGAGTGGAGTGGAGTGGAGTGGAGTGGGGGGGTGAAGAGATTAAGACACACAGGAGCCGCCTTTATGAAGATGCTGATGTGTGACCGCGGCGTCCAGATGCTGGTAACCACCGTGGGCGCGTTCGCCGCCTTCAGCCTCATGACCATCGCCGTTGGCACCGACTACTGGCTGTACTCGCGTGGGGTCTGCCGCGTGAAGAGCAGCGGCGACAACGACACGAGCCGCAAGAACGAGGAGGTGATGACGCACTCCGGCCTCTGGCGAACTTGCTGTCTGGAAGGTACGTGATCAGTCTCAGCCTCTCTCTCTCTCTCTCTCTCTCTCTCTCTCTCCCTCCCCCCCCCTCCCCCCTTGCGCGTGTGTGCTTGTATAGGGTGGCGTGTGCACGTGGTTGTTTCCCTCCTTGTGTGCATGAGTCTGACTTCATGTGTCTCAGCCGCTGCATTTATACATTTACATTTACACTTTGCGCAATTTTGCGCAACGGTTACGGATGGAATGCACCCTGCCTCCCCTGCAGGGGGCAGTAAAAGAGTGTCAGTTTAGCAGTTAGAGAACTAATTGACATATAGCATATGCGATCTTTGATATATGATGCTGTAGAAATGAAAACTTGTAGTTGGTCCTTAAACTGTGCGAAATATGAAGTTCAAGAACTTGAGTCTTGAGTCTGGTCAGTGTACATCTCGTCTCCATGGCAACTTAGCTGTCAGTAGGTATGTGGCAAAACCTGTTCAGACCATTTATTACATAAAATGAGCCTGGGGACATGTCTCAGCAGACGTGTCTCAGCAGATTTTCAACCAACTTAGATCCAGTTGACACCTGCCGGCAGGTGCACAGTGCAGAGCTGTAGTGTGTAGCTGTCAAAAAAACAAAACAATTTAGTTGTTTGTTGTTGTTGTTTTTTATTGTATTGTGTAGCAGAGGACTGGTTGAATCCATCTGGTTGATAACATGTTTCTAAAATTGTAAATGACTCTAGGCAGATATCAGGTTTTTAACAGTGGAACTTCGGCCTCACTCTCATACATTTCTGGAAGTCAGCGGAATTAAAGTTCCACAGTCTGTATTTCTCACCCCACAGATTGTTCTCCACTGCTGCTGCTCAGGGCTGATTCTGTTTCAACCTTAATATCTGTCTGTTGATGTTGAACAATGTCATTTCTTTTCTACTGCTGTGTTTGCATGGACACATTATCACCTTAAAAAAATCCACCTTAACATTAACTGACCTATGAGGACCTACTCCCCACTTTATTTTTATTTTTTATTTATTCTCTCTATTCTACTAGTTCTACTTCTACTGTAAATACACAATATTTTAAGAATGCACTACACAAACTACACTTCTGCTAATACTAAATATACTACCCTTCACATCAGCACCAAGGACAGCACCCATCGCAGGCACTTGAATTTAGCACCACGGACAGCTCCACGTAGTGCAGCAGCTTCTGCGTGGTTGTGTGCACACGACATTGTTGTTGTTGTTTTTATAATAACACCTGAGAAACACTGATTTTATAATCAATATATAAATGTTCCAGTGGAAGTTGTTTCCTACTTTATTTGATTTTTATTATAAATTTCAAGTTCCCTCTGTGTTGAATCTCAAGTCCAGCAGCAGTGCAGTTTTGAATTGTGTTCTTTTGTATCAGTGGGAGCTCGTGTTACTCAGCTCCATATGGAGCTTGAGACAAAAGGCGAAAACCCACAGAAGTGTTTGTTGATATTTGGGTTTCTGTGGTTTGCAAGTGTTACAAACTGCTAGGAAGCTGGATCACATATTAGCAGCCGCCGACACTGTAAACAACTAAATCTGTTCAATGCAACATGTCTGCCATCTGTTTACCATCCCAGAGAAGCGGAGGCTGGCGAGTCACAAATTTCACACAATTTTAGAGGCTAGTGCTCGTTGTTGAGTTGGCTGTGGGATGTATCCAGTGAAGGCAAAGCTGTGGAGCTGGAAACAACCTATTTACTGACCGCAGCAAGTGCAAACCTGAGCAACGTGCAGTGTTTGTTGTTTAAATTTATTTTTAATAATAAATAAGCCACATAATTGGAAAAACCAACAAACCAAAATATAATTAGTGACTCGACCACTTGTCCAGTGTTATTACACAAAAACAGTTTGACGATAAACAATAACAAAATAATAAATTGCATGTCTGTTTTTTTTTCTCTCTTTTGCTTTTCACATAATTAAACCTAAATTATGTGAATTTGAGTCTCGTAAATGTCGCCACAAATTGGTTTAAATGAACCTTTTACATTTAATTGCCACAGAAAACGCTGCCCCCTGGTAGAAGTGTGCCTTTTGTGAACATGTGTGTGTCTGTGTCTGAGGCAGCTAGACACAACCATCCAATTCTAGAGGGCATCGAAAGCTATTAGCGGGCCAGATGGTGCAGGTGTAAGGCTGTATTGAACACACAAACACTTTTATTTTCATCAAACACGCACGCAGTCATGCACGTGCGCACACGTGTGATTGAGTGGACAAATGGATACGTTCTACAAAACGAATCCAAAGCTGTGGAAGGAGGACGGCTGTGTTCAGCACAATATCAGCTCAAAGTCGGGGGAGAACACACACATGAACGCTCACATGTAGCTGACAGTAAAACATGCAGATGAACACACCCTCTGCCCCGCTCCTCTCTCTCTCTCTCTCTCTCTCTCTCTTTTTTTGTCTCTAAGTACCATTTGTGTCTTTCTCCCATCTTATCTCCCCCTCAGTCACTGCTGCTCCCTGGTTGTCTCACTTTTATAATTCATAAACGCCTCTTAAACTGACAGCAAATGGATGTGTCTGACTGCTGCACATGTGACTCGACATCGGACACAGAGTAAAGCTAAGATGTGACACACTTAGAAAGTAGAAACACTACGTATGTTTCCCTCAGAAAATATTGCCATTCAGCCTTTATAAATGTATTTTGTAAATAAGGTTTGTGTGGTAAACAAAACGCTAACATAATGACTGGACCACTCAGAGAAATGTCTTTGGAAATTTGACTGTGAGTGAGATAATTATTTTCATTGTCCAGCTCTATAAACAAGGACAAACTTCCAGCATTTTCATTTCATGCTGTCAGTTTGTGTGTGGTCAGGTTGGAATTTGTCGCCTGCAGTGAGTGAGTGTGTCTCTGCAGGTGCACCACAGGGTTAGGTTCCCACTGTGACAAATGAGCATGAAAAATACCAGGAAATGAGGAGGGACACTTTGAGAGGAGGAAGACAAGGGATGGAGACAGAGCATGAATGAGGACAGACCAGAACATGCATGAATGGAACTGGAGCTGGTGGTGGAAGGCAAGCGGCTGTAGGTGGAAAGTGATGGATGGTCCCCGGTTTCAGTCGGATCTCTGGGGAGCCGGTGACCGGGGCCGGGATCTGAATGATCACCTGGTAATACAGAAAAATGGGTTTTAAACACAGATGGGACAAAAACGGTCCCCAGGTGGCTGCAGGTGGAACGGAAGAGTAAAAAGAGCAGGAGCTCAGGGTAGGAGATGAAGGACGGAGTGAAGAATGAGGTCACTGCATAAAGAGGTGGGCATTAATTAAAGATGTGAGGTGTCCATGTCTGGGATAAAAACAACCAGCTGACAGAGCAGGGGTAAAGAGGGAGTGGGTGAGAGGAAATGTTAAAGAGGTGACACGGGGGATATGAGTCAAAAAAATGAAGAGGAAGGGAGAGGGGGGGGGTGTAGTTTAATGTTGTGAGTTGTTGGCTTGACGTGGTGCATGTGTTTCTCCAAATAGTGACAAAATCAAATGTATATTCAGTAAAATGTCTCCTGGTGTCAAGTTAGTGAACTGACTGCTTTTGTCGCCGCCCTGGAGTTTGGATATGATGAGTGAAATGGAGGAGCAGATTAATAAAATATTGATTAAGGTTAGTTGAACTTAAATGGTTTAAAAGTCAAAAGTAATATCAGTTTTATATTTATATCTTAGTCAAAAGTAATATCGGTTTTATATTTATATCTTAGTATTAAACTACATTTTTTAAGAGGTTGAAAGTTAGATTTGACCTTTTGATAAAAGAGTTTTTTTTCCTGAACATTTAACACATTAGGAGTCCGACAGAGATAATGGTGAAGAGAGATCCCCTGAACATTTAACACATTAGGAGTCAGACCGAGATAATGGTGAAGAGAGAAGGTTTCTGTCCTCCAGGCAGGGTTTTGGAAAACGTGGGAGAGCAGATGTTGGTCTTTTAAAGATTTACTAAAGATACTGTGACACTGTGAGTGAAATATAACTGACTTTTTTTTAAGTTAGTCTGAGTTAAAAAACAAAACAAAAAAAAACTAATAGTTTATAAAAAAAAAATAGGTCCAGAAACCAAAGTTTTCGACACCAGATCTAATGTAGCGATGGTCTCCAGGGGGAAAAGTCCTGATAGTTCCATAAATGAAAACAGAGACAGGAGAATGCATGGCAGTAGGAAAGGAGATAAGAACCTGGAGGTCATCTGGTACAGAACCATGTAAGGGATGTTATCAGTCCCTGCTAACAGTAAGATGGATTGAAGGAGGAGAGATAGTGCAGGAAAAGAATAGAGACTCTAACAGGAGCTAAAAGAAAAGGAGAGGACTAGGATTGTCTGAAGACGGACCATTAGTTACACAGTGGTGTTGATATGACGGTGATGTACTGGTCATGACCAAATGAAAAATCCAAATCTTTGAAACAATTGCATATGTTATCGACAGTATCGTGTGCGAATCGGGGAGGAGAGAATCTTTGTTACAATGACCGAGTCGGGGAGGAGAGAATCTGGGTTACAATTCAAAATCCCTGAGTGGGTTTGATGGTATGGACTGTATACGCTCCATATGGAAGAACTCTGGGACGAAGCAGCTAAAGCTCCAGGCGTCGCCATCTTCAGACCTGAGTGAAGCTGTCAGGAAAACACCAGTTGATATGGAATAAGTCCTACCTCATTATTGCAGGATGGGCTCAGATGCAGTACCATGAGGTAAGTACTGCATCTGAGCCCAAGGTACTGCGTATTAATGGTTCTTCACTCAGCTGCCGGCTTGGCCTTTGCAACAAATTGGAAATGTAGCTCAGAAAGATGCGAGAAACTGAAGGAGAGAGAAGTGAGAAGGGACAGTATCAGAGGAGACGAATGAATGGTTCAGAAATCAAAGCAGGGAGGAAAGGATGGATTGATGATGGGATTTAAAACAGGAACAGACCGATGTTTTGGGGAAAAAAAAAAGAAAGGAAAGAAAATGCATTGAAGAAAAAAGAGAGAAT